TGAGTCCACTGCCAGGCTTTTATGGATACATTGTTTTATTTGGGCTCTACTAGGTACCTCCGTCACTAAAAGTTGTACTATAATGGCCTACCTGTTGGGGCAGCATACTCTGGTACAGTTGTGTCTCCCTCAAGAGACTACATATTACGGTACGTAATACTGATTGACCTCTCTCAAATGGTCCCTCCATCAGGGGACAAGTGTATGTGAACTTTATGGTGCTTTATTCCTCGGAATTTGATCACCAGAACGAACGAGCCGCAGCTAGTTCCTTAAGCAGATAGCAGTTTTCCATAAATCCAGCTGAATAGTCGTTTGCAAATAACGACCGTGTCTGCGGCATACAGTTAGGTGTGAGCTGAATTTCAAGCTTGTACTATTTTCCAGAGCTTCCACCAACCACGCGGGTTGTCGTTTCAGGTTTGAGGTATGCTTTCGTTTCGAAAAAAAGTGGCGATGGTTAGGGCTGTTGTTACGAAGGATTCAAACTTCAACGCCGTCTGGTGTTAAATATCAGAATAAATACTGTATATAATGTAATTTTCATAAATATTCTCAAAGAGGAAGACTGGACGCTAATAATACTTCAGCATAGGAAAGAGCCTTCCACTGGGGGGTCGTTTCCTAGAAAACTCCACAATGAATGTCCAACGCCAGTTTCCCATGGGATTTCCTGTCCCGCAACTCGCTTATTTTTAACTAGTTTCTTCTCTGGTGAGTTATTTTACCTCAAAATAAAGGCTATGGACACAATCCTATATTGCATCCATAATATATGTTTTTACGCCCCTTGTGCTCACCACGAGTTATCCTTAGGTGGGAAAATAACATTGCCGGAAGTCCGTAGGCGAAGGGAGGTGCAGTGACGTTGAAGCAAGTGATGCTCTGACGAAGCTAAGCTATCGCGAACAACGGTTTAATTTGAAAAGTTGGTTTAGATGCTAAGCCAATCCCTCGTGCATGGAGTTTTTTAGTGATTCACGCGATTTCGAACATCCAGATGGTTGTTTCTGACTTTCTTATGATCCTCATGCAGGATAGCATGAAACTTTCGCTGTTTGGTTCGTGCCTTCAAACGTGATAATTACAAGGCTGAATAACGCAGTAAGTTGCATGTTCTCATCGACAGGTGCAGCAACACAAAGTGTTAGACTTCCGTGTTCACCATTCACACTTTTAATCTGGACACAAAACCATCCACCTCATTGCATTTCATGCTCTTATATGGTTTCGGCAAGCTGTTGCTGCCAAGCTTGTTTGACTCTTGAACCTTAGCTTCGGACTATTGCTACTCCTGCATACACACGAAGGGTTCGATGTGGAAGAAACTCTCAGCGGATCTTTCAGTTCAAAACTGTTCTCTCATCATGAGGTCACTCTAGACTAGTGCCGCTTCACTCGCACTTTGCTCCTTTGTGTAGTCTGCCAGCAGTACACATCGTCAGCCGTGGCCCAGAGTGAGATTAGCAAATTTTAGGAGTTATCATTCCTTATGTGCTCAGTGAAATTACCCTATCCTCTTTTCTAATACTGCACAAGAATCTTCATAGTCTATTAGGTATTTGTCCGACCATAACTTGCACTTAAGCTGTCACGTTGTTGTCGGCAACAGCTGCATTGCGATAACAGTTTCACTACTCACTGCGACAGAGTAGTACAAAACGTTTGTGTTACTTGTCCCGACTCATCCCATAGATAGCTGTTGTCCTATCCACAGACATCAAATTTTCCTGTAGGTACCAACGCACTGAAACAACGCTGCATAATTTTGAATCAAATAAACTCCTTTGTAGTTGTGGCTCGCCAAAAGTGGGTGCATTTAGCTGTTTACAGTTGTCTTTCTGGTATGGAATGTCACCGTCCAAGTTTGTTAGAACCCAGGGAACAAAATATTTGGGTGGGGTAAAATTTATATTATACGCCAGCAGCCGAAGTTATCACTCATAGTAGACAGTCAGTGAAAGATCTGCACTGCTGGAATCAGTGCCAGACGTCACGTTACTTAGCCACTGACTATCGATTTCTGTGAAGCCTTATTCCACTCCCACCTCGTGTTTTGCGAATAGACATGGCCCACATGGCCATTTGTTGTTATCCCTTCAACGCTGCCCATTAACGACATACCCAGTTGAAGTGTGATGAACGCTCAGGTATCGGCGTGGATATTGTTCGATCTGTTTCTTCGATCTCTTGGTCCAACGATGCACTTATACTGTTTCTGAGACCATAACCCAGCAGCCCGCATTAGGAACGTTGTTTTGCTCTTGTGCCAAATTGAGAGGATATGATATCACAAATAGTTTATCGGTTGAACAGTTTTGTCAGCGTGAGCAACTGGTCATGATCCGACACCCAAATTCGTGTCGTGGTTCTGAGGTCGACTGTTTTGTGGTTCCATATAGTGAATTGGTTGGACTTTGAGGTATTCTCCTTGGGTGACGAAGATTGTTTTCTGATCCATATCACTGGACAAAACGATTCCGATGATGGAGAACGCGAATATCGCGAATCCCTTCTGTCTTCCTTCCGAGCAACTGCGTTCGATAATGTGTATTCGGCAGGATGTCGTTATTCAAACATACAGGAACGTATTGGCAATAACAAATGATACCAAAGGCTTCTACCGTTTATCAGTTCGCTAGTTAAGTATGGATATTCTCGGTAGATGATGCTGCTGATTTTTTCCAGAGGCGCCGAATAGAGTAGAAATCAAGCGGCACCTTTGAGGCAGAGTTATGTGGATTTGTACCATGCAATTGCTGCTAGGACCTTCGGAGTTTGCGCCTAAAACCTTTGCCTTATGTGGAGCGGCAACCTGATTAGGTACGGATTGGGGTGCAGACACATCGTTTTGGGCGATAAATCAATTGATTAGGTTTTTCGCGTGTGTAAGGCGCGTTTAGGGCTCCAGTTATGTTCTCATCGATTGTAGAGCCACAAATTCACGGGGCGAGTGATTTTCAGTTTTCTGAGTGGGTGGCTTTAGTTCCCACATCCGTCGCCTTCATACCAGTCATGATTTTGAAAACATCCGTTACAAATGTGATAAATATGTGGCCCATTTAATCAGAAACTTGCACTGTAACAGTAAGGTTACCCCTTTTCGCTGTGTACTACGTGGCTGCTGTGGCTATGACTGGGGGCTGATCACAATAAAGTCTTTCAAGAAGGTGGTATAATGCGGGTTTTGTCGTTTTTCATTGATGTCTGGTTGCTTGATGTGATCTTGATCAGGATTGATCATTTCCACAGTTTATGATAGAGAAGTTGAAAATAAGAATGATAGAGTCTAGACAAATAAAAGGGTAGTCAGCATTCTACCAGTAATCTGAAATGAGTGTGAGCTATGTACTAGAGTTGGTGGATTAGATGAATGATACTAGTTTTTGTTCGATCTTGTGTGTTCTTTAGATGATATTAATTATCTTAGACAAAATTACAGAATCCGGACAAACCTACTGGTGTGAACGGAACGTGGGGTGCTGAAACCGCTGTTTTCATTGAGATATCCATTAAACACGTAAAAGCGTGCATTGATTTTTGTAGATTAGGTCTGAACTCTGAATTCACGTTCACATTACACTCGTTTGAACAGTCCTCCTACTGTTCTAAAACAATTGTTCTGGTGAGTCTTCAGGCAACAAGATGCTTAAAAATAGACTGGTCACGAACCAGTAGTGTAATCACCCCCGTAGTCGAATGTTTTTTAACTGTCTACCGTTGGCGTTATTGTTTCGCCCAGCCCTTTTCCATGTGAATTTCTGTTCGTGAGACTTAGGTGTATACTGAGTGGTTTGTCCACCGAGTTAGACATTTTAATAGCCTAGCTCCTTTCCCAGTTCAGCGTACGAACCAACGACCTTCCATGCCACTGCAGTACCGTTTTCCTCAATAGCACCATAGATGTATATTGTGACCTAAGCTACACGATTCCGCACGTCCCCTCCCACAGGCTGCGTCGAAAACAGAATCTCAAAACACGCGTCTGCGTTCTCGTTCTTCCACTCCATCGTCACAACACCGTGCGTCACCAAACAGCCAGACGACCAACCATCGACAAGCTGAATATACTTGTGATCCCGAGGAACACTTTCCTCGCATGCGATTGCGACTTCGCCTATCTCCAAGAGAACCGGGTAGCCAGCCTTCTTCTCTCAAAGCAGACTCCCCGTCCTCTGAAGCAACTACTCTCCCAGCACTTCCGCCACCAACAACTAGATGGAGCAAGAAGTAGGTAGAGCTCTGCGATGTACTTTTGCGTTAGTGGTTTGGTGTGATTACCACTGGCCATTCATACTGCTCTTCCTTGTTCTCACGTACTATTACCACGGTCATCCGTTATTGATGGACAGTTCGATTGTAAACTTTTCACCACAAAGCTTGTTCTGAGTAGGCGGGAAGCACTGTTCGGTTGTTTCAATTTTAGTGGAACTTGTTGATATGCGTGTAACATTTGACCGGGTTATTAGGGCTTTACTTTTTCTAGTGTTTGGATCCACTCGTCTACAATTTTTTTATTCTTTGCGTGCTACCTCGTGGTTGAGACGATTCAGTTGTAAACTGACTTCTGGGACCATTTTGAGACTTGGTGATCAGTCCGAATTGGACCTGGCGTCAACGTGTTTGTCTACATGTCTCTTCCCAACACATCATATGCCACTTTTTGGGAAGTCACATTGAGTTTGATAACCGTGGTTCCGTTTTATTGGGAGCCACAGCCTATTTATCGATAGGATACAAGTGAGTTTCTTTTCATAGCTAAATAGCGAGGGTGCGAAAACTCGTTAACGTGAGCTAACACCGTCTGTGTAAGGCTTCACATGACCAACCTTCGTGCCGTTTTCTCAAACTCTTGCTTCTTGTTTTATCGTTGGCATACCCCATCGAGCTAGTTACTCATTAGAGACGCATCGTTGAATTTTATACGCTTTTGTGTGAGTTCACCTCTCCGAGTGCAAATGTAATCTGCAACAGTCGTACCTCCATCTAAGATTCAAGCGTTACTCGTAATCAAGGTCATGTTGATAGGTCATGTTGATAGTGCTTTTGTCTGGGTGAATGTGCGAAAAACTCAGTTCCATTGGTAATTGATCAGGTGGCTGTTGATCTGTTTGCCGAGCTTGGCAATTGATTTGCAAACGTTTCGTCACCATTCGAGGAGACATCTTCAGTGCGCTGTTAGTTCACCCCGAGCTACCAATATTCCAAAACATTACCAACTCAGTTCCATTTTATTCCTGTACTTTGTTTGTCCACTCTATCTCTTTCAAGAATTATGTTTTTGCCTGGATCAGTGTGTCCAACATCACCCGTAACTTTTATCTTTCGTCACGCTATGTAATCCGCTGCGTTCATTTTCTCCTAAACTTCCATCATCTTTTTTATCGTAGACGACGCAGTTCAGTTCTCTCTCACCTTTCGACTGACAGTCGAACAAGTTCGATGGACGACTTGCATTCGACAGTTTCGGACGCCACAACAATGCCTGCTCTACAAGAAAACAGACCATCCACCCGAACTGTCACGATTCCTCGGAGTCTTTCATGCACTTGGTGTAACCAGTCCGGTTTCCCTTCTGTCCGACTTTTATCTCTCCATCTTACCAAGTGTCCGATGCGTCCAAGAGCACTGACAACCCATTCTCGTTCGACGACATTCAGTCAAATCGCCACAAGAAACAAACTAGGGTTGTCAATCAAGCTGTGGCCTTGTGCTACTTGTGGACTGAAGTTTCGCTCGAAACCGGTTCTGCGTTCCCATATGACTGTCGGTTGTCAGCGTGGTCGTAAAGCCGCATCTGATCCGGCAAATGAATCGAATGCCGATAAACTAATCGGTTGTCCCGGTTGCCCGAAAACTGCCATGCCTTTCGACTCGACCGAGGCTGTATTAACTCATCTTCTATCTTTGAAGCCTGGCGCAGGACATCCATACGGCAACCATGGTTCACTATCCACTCCTCAATTATGGCCTGCGCTTCTCTCCATACCCAACCTTGGGTTTGGGTGTCATATTTGTGGACTACTGTTGGCATCTGAATCCAGACTGGACAAACATAAGCGTGCGGTGCACGAAGCCTGGCTCCAGAGTGAACACCAGAAAGCCCTGAGTCCGCAAAAGCGGGGTTCAACGGTGTAACCGTGTCGTGGGAATTTTTTTTATCAAAGTTTTTAAAAAATGAAAATTCTAGATTCCGCAATTTTTATTTTCATTTATATATACTTCGAAATTGGGTGAGATTTCTGCGCATTTACGTGTGGATTTCGTGTTGATGTACTATTTGCTGATTTTACGCATAGATGAAAAAATAACTTATGAAGTTTTTTTATTATGTTGATAAGGTGTGATCAGTTTACGTTTTCTGTTGTGCTCTCGGGGCTTAAAATTTTGTTTGGATATTCATTCTGTACAATAACCCTTTGCTCTACATAGCCTACTGCGCTCAGTCCACCGCAGTCGTTTTACGGTAGGTCAACGGTTAGGGCATAACTGAATAATCTCCATGTGCCTGAGCAGAATTAAAAAAGAACCCTTGGACATCACTTGATGCAGAGGATGGAGCAACTGTTGTGTTATTTGGGACTGATTCTAGGCGTGCACTATACTGCTGCACACATTGAGGTAGATGTCTTCTAGGAGCCGTCGTTAGAGTTTTGTTGAAATTCTAAGATTTCTTCGTACAAACGTTACCGTGTATACATTCAGCAGTTCCTCGGAAGAGAGACTGATTAAGAACTAAGACCTCTTCACTTCGGTCGCTCAAAAGTCAGCCTAAAACATTGACTTCTTGATCGCTCCGAGCATTTTTACAGTCGCTTGTAATGTGAGGCGATTTGTGCAATCACCTGATACCTTAATAGCGTCAACTGAGTCGCGTGATGCCAGTTTACATTGTTGTTTCCTATCACCATCCCAATAAACCAGCTACCATATTTGATGTATATTTTTACAGATTTCCGACTTTCTGTACCCGAGTGAGAAAATCACGAATGGTTGTTTTGCATACCTTTTAGGTGCGCATCAATTTCACGCTTTTCCAGCTGTCAGCTTCCAACTGACACTGTCACCAGGTGCACTAGATTTGATACATGCTGACCAGTTTGACGGGTTGCAGTATCTGAATTCTGAACAGGTGTGAATTAATCCATGACATTTGAAAACGGAGTCAGGTGACATCCAGGTTTACTTCTCATCAAAGCAACAAATGCCTCTCCTGATTTATGGAAAAATCGTCGGCTCAAGTGATATTTTTAGGATAATCAGTACAATTGCGTTAATAACTTTGCGTGTGCACAGCTAATGGACTTCGTTAGCATAGACAACTCCAGATGGACAGAATAACGAGGTAGAAAACAACTACTATCTTGTGTGTGTGGTCCTCTGGCAATTTTCAACAAGATATGTACGAATGCAGTGACTAAAAGAAAAGAAAGTCTAATAGCAGAAAAATAAGAGCTCATCGTTGTACCATGAATTGTGTACTAATCGCCACGCAAAAACTAAGGGATAGAGGGTAGTCTCAATCCTTACACAATCGGGTGTGGCCTCGATTTGTGGTTGCTGCCGCTCTGTAAAGCGTGTGTCCATGTGAATTGCTTTTGCCCACAGGGGTCAGGTTTGTCCAGTTCGATAAATTTCTCCTCTGCAGTGGCAAGCAGTCGTATTCACGCAAGAGTGATTAGCTAGGACTTGGTACACCATCTGAAAGTTTTCAGTAGGGACGGTAATACCATTAGAACTAATCAATTGCATGGCCAAGGAACTTGAATTTGACTTTCTAATTCTTGGCGTTAACCGAACTGGTCAATTTTCAGCAATTCCATTAGACAACCGCTATGTACGACCAGTGCTTGTTGCGTGTATAGGCATTCGGGTGACTACAAACAGAGTGAGATCCATAAGCTTAAATGAATTGAATATCTTCAACCATCTTTGCCTGAGGTCACGGCAACTGGCTCCTGTGGCAGGATGCCGGTTTCACAGGCCCTGAACTGTCTGTACATGGGAAAGGCGGTCACAGGCTAGGGCCGAACAGACAGTTCCGATTCGGATTCTAGCAATTTATGCCACATGCTAGGTTGCGAACGAACCCATTCAAAGCTGGCTTGAAGATGCCGATCTGGGTCGTCAGCTGCCCTCCAATACTGTAGCTTCACTCCGGCCATTGGGGAACCAGGACAAGTTTCCCAAGCTTGTTTTCGGGTTTTTGGTCGTGATCAAACGATGGATGTAGTCACTACTGAATTAGTTGTCGTAAACGTTATGTAACAGCTTGTTGTTTTTCGAGCCATCGACTTTTTAAGATTTGTTTAGTACTCCATTGACCAAAAACACCGAGTTTGTAGATATCTTACACGCAAATTGGCCAAGCTTCACAACCGTAGACAGGGCCGGCCAATTGCAGTTCTGAACACACCAACCCTTGTGTCCAAGCTGATCTCACTTTTCTTGAATGGAGTCTCCCTCAGTTGTATAGAGAGAGATACGGAGAACAGTCTGCCTGTTAAATAAAATGCTTGAACCGAAATAACAAAAAGCAGCGCTCAACTTCACCTATACAGAAGGTCGCCTGTTGATCACTTGCTTAGGGAGGAATTGTGTTGATCAACAGTCTACTGAATCCTGCAAGGTGGCTGAATCGATCCAGAACAGCTTACAATTCAATTTACCGACTGAGACAATGTTATCGATCGGTATATTTGAGGTCAATAGTCCAGACGCTTGTGTTATTCGGGCGCTGGAGTATCCATCGAGCGCCTATTGCATCGCCCAATGTTTATTGGGTCCAGTTATGAAACGCATCTTTGTTCCACTCTCATCAGCGTTAACCCGGACTCGAGCCTTCGTCGACAACAAGGAAGTTCTGATGAGACCAGTGAGTTTGCAGGTATACCCTTAGCAAGGGTGATAATCCGTAGTGATTCACAGCGGCTTGATTCGAATGCAGCGCGGCAGTACAAAATGCTTTACTGCTGAAATTCGACCCAATGCTTCAGAAATCGCCTTGTGGTGAATACACGCGCCACAGCTTTTGCTGGAACGGAAACTTTCTGCATTGAGTCGTGATTGAGTATCCAGTATCTAAGATCTTTCGACATTTACAGAATTAACATCTTTGACTTTCCGAATATTTTAGCGAACTAGTTTGGGAGGAGAACGGAGACGCCCAATTAATGACGGACGGACTTCATCTCGAATTCCTCCTAAGTGCCTTCTATTTAAAAAAAAATGATTGATGATTGAACTCGTCTCAATCTGACGGCTGTCTGCAGTTAATGGTTCTCTTCTGAAGAACGGACTGATGTAGAGCGTGACTGAAAATCCCACCCAAGCTTTCTTCAAATCATTAGCTCTCATCTCTTTGTTGTCTTTGTGCGAAAATGCTTTCAAGAGTTGGCTTTCACGAGCTAACACGAAACATACGCAAAAGGTCAACAGGGTCACAAGCGTTGGGGACTTTCCCTCTTACATTGTTAATCAATATGAGATATGGCCGTTTCTAACAGACCGAGCGGTTTCGAGAATTCGGAAGTCGGGGGTCTTGATGAGGCTTGATTATAATACCAACGTGAAGTGTAGAGTTTTATATGAAATACATTGCGTGGTATAACCAATACAGGCCTTCAAAAACTGTTAGTTACCTGAAGCATGGTTCACTGATTATTCAGGGAGGTCCGGTGATTTCCAGAGTGACGCGGGCAGTTGGCTGTTGTTATGGCTGCGTTGTACTCCTAGGGGCCGGTTTACGTCTGTTCACGCTCGAGTGGGAGGACTGATGCGTTTCAAGGGTCAGTATTTTTACCTTGCGAAACATGTTTCGATCTTCGTTCGCCTGAGATTATGTTCCTCGTCTTACCGACAATTCTACCGCTATTAATTAACGAGGACGTAATCGAATTAGGGGGCAGTGTGATCATACTTTGACCACTTTGTTAGTAAATACCTTCTAGGTTGTTGGAAACGAGCATTGATAATGATTAGGGAGGGAGTTTGTCAAATCTCACTGTTTTTACATAGTTTTACTTAGCCGAACTTTCCCAGGCTTTGACGAGTGGAAACGTTTTATCAACCTATGTGGACACTAGTCGCCTGTAACCCGCGTTGGTTCGCACCCAGATATCTTGTTGACCATGATTTGCAGCCCACTGTGAAAAAAAATCCATTGGTGATGAAACCCGCTAAAGAGATTGGTGGGCACACGGATACTGTATTCAGGAACAAGGTATGTGTGCACTATGGGCACGGTCACTCAAGGCAAACGCAGTCCCGTGGAGACCCGAGTTTTTCACTGGATCACTGTAGTGATATCAGTGGTAGGCATGCATTGCCTATGTGTGGACTAGTGTACTGCTTGAGTTGAGTAGCCTGGTCTCACATTTGACACAGGTGATAATAGTGATGACTGTGCAGCGTTCAAATTTTTAACCGCCAGAGGCATGGACCATCAACAGTGAGTCGTACGTATTGATTTGCAACAACAAATGTTGGTAATCGTATTCAAATCGATATTCGTTGCGAAATGAAATATACTGCTCTTCAACCTTGGATTGCGAAGATTTCTCAGATAAACTTCCTGTCATCTATGCCAATCGCAGTCCGCATCAAGCTCTAAGAACTCGTGAATAAGCGTTACCTGTTTGATTTCGTTACGGGGGCCATAAGAAGAATTCGACTTGGCCGGCCGAATATACGGTGAATACTGTAGGGGAAACCCCATATGGGGGTTAATATACGTAAAATTAGGACAAGTTAGGGCTTACCCAGCATAGTGAGTATGTGCTTTTGAGGAACTCTCAAATCACTTTACCACACGGATCCTCCAGGAACCAGCCGCAACCGTTCGTTTTTTAGAGACTCATTTTTTCTGGAGGTGGTCGGGCGGGGATGTCGAGGTGAAGTTCGAGAACACAACACTAACCAGATGGGAGATATACGTAGAAGAAAATAGGGCTAAAACGGTTAGATCTGTCATCTCCTGCGCATTTGACATAGTGATCTTGAACCAACTACCTCGGAATGACAGGTAACGGCCCCGATTTTCCTTCACCTTGGTTAATGTATTCTGTTTTTTGAAGCGCGAATTCTCCGTTCCCTGTACAGCTTATCCAGTTTCCAATCGAGGTATATCGGTAGGGATTGTTTTGCCAAGACTGTGTTGATCATACCTCACCACTGAGACAGGTAACCAAACTGATTTCGGCGGGCAGAGTGGCTTTTCTAGCGAAATAGTGCATTCATCTTTGTGGTTCGCCAGAAATCGTGGCACTATCTGGCAAACATAGGTACCCCGGTCGTATTCTCGTTAACCGGATGTTTTGAAGTCAAATACCACTTTGGCGAATTCGTGCTGCGCCAAAAGGGCGTTTACCACGCACGGTCTGGCTTGTTTTATAGTTGTGAAGGGCGGAGGATCTGGTATCCTAAATGTCTCCAAAATGCCACCATTGTCGGATGGCATCAGTAAATATGTAGCTTTCCAAGTAAATGCGGGTGTCAGTTTGTCGATTGGGTACTTCGGTCGCGGACAAATTCCAGCATCATAAACTGGGTTGGTGCGGCCATGGGCTAAGCACGCAGAGTCGTGTTCTGCAGAGGCTAATTTCGTCTGTAATAACTCCTGTAGAGTGACGTGAATTACGAAGTAGACAGTCTTTATCAGAACGATATGAAAGAGATTAGGGAACGTGTTGGAATATTGGTAGCTCGGTGTATTGGTTAAGTGGACGCCTCACAAAAGCTTTCAAACGTTCCCTAATCTAGTTCGTAATTGATCAAGTGGCTGTTGATCTGTTCGCCGAGCTTGGCAATTGATTTGCAAACGTTTCGTCACCATTCGAGGAGACATCTTCAGTGCGCAGTTGGTAGGGAAACGTTTGCAAATCAATTGCCAAGCTCGGCGAACAGATCAACAGCCACTTGATCAATTACGAACTAGATTAGGGAACGTTTGAAAGCTTTTGTGAGGCGTCCACTTGATCAACCATGTGCTTGACTGGGGATGTAAGATATGTTGACTAACAAGTCTTGTGCTACCAGTTTCTATTTACAATGTGTGTGATAGTAGTAATAATATACCATATAATAACTGTGATAGGCTTGCAAATGTTCCCTTCTATGTACACTTCTTTTCCCTACCTTAGATTTTCGTAAAACAGGCATTGTGGTTGCACCTAATCAGTGCAATCGTCCACAACAGTGATTTTCATCCCATAAAATACTTAGATAACGTTTGGACTCTGTTTTTCTGCGTCGGTATAGTAATAGTCAATTAGTTATTATTAATTGTTCCAAGCGTTTATAGTCTAGTATACACAAGAAGTACTTTTAGTGGATAGTCACTATGATTAGTTCGTCTAATCAACATTTGGTTTTCGAATGGGAATTTCCGTCCCACAATGGTCAAACGCTGGGCACCTGCATAAAGTCAGAAGACTCTAGGTGCTTTCTGCGAAGCCTAATGTGGCACTGCATGTAAGACTGGCCTGATGTAGAAAGTAGCGAACAAGGTCGGTGGATTGGTGTACAGAAACCTGCTTCGGTAGTAGTAGAACCCCGAACGCTCATCAGCTGCTCGTATATCATCGAGGTACCAGTTGATGGTTTCCTATCACATGTTTTCCCATCGGCTGCTAACGAGTGGGTTGGCTCTGCTTATATAATCCTAATGGTCTCAAGGGAACCATTACCGAAAACTAAAGTGATCAATCAACATAGCTTACAATTAATGTCACTGATTTCTTCGGGCTGCACGCTACCCATGTACTTGTATGGTACCACCGTTGTCTCTGTCTTGGATTAGATACCCGGTCAAAATTAGGCTCTGACTCATGACGTACCGCAAATTTCTGTTTCTTGAGCCAACCGAAATCAGTTTTTCCTTCAGCAGCATCATTTTGGCCTCATTTTTTGTCAGTTGCTCACATTTGTCTGGACAACAACTCTCCGATTAAGTTGTCTGAGCTCTCTCTGCATGAACGTCGCAACATGACAGTGACCACGATTTTGTGACATTAGGTTGATAGATGAATCAGCCACAACCGTGCACCTCTAAATACGATTTCGGTGAGCTTGCTTGTTGGCTTAGCTGAGCATTACGTCGGCTGCTTTGTTTATCTGGTTCTAGTCCTTCGCCCGGCAAAAAGCGGTTCGATGTGTAAACAATTTATGTACCACATAAGAAGTTAACTCCCTACTTTTCAATCATCTTTAGTTTCTCTCGTCCAAACGGAGTGCCTTCTGCTGTACAGCGAAGAATGAGTTACGGCGTCGTATCATGAAAGAAGCACATCAGTGCTCCGTTGAGGGACACTGAATCATGCTGCTGGGTTAGCGTCGAACTTAAAGTAATTGCAGAGATATGTGTCGGCGGTGGCCAGGTGCGTTTTTCGCATTTTATTGATCATTTATTTGAAGCATCCAGCAAAAGGTATGATTTCTCACACTGATTCCCTTTGTCTCCCGATTCTAGCCCCTTTCAACACGAGTCATACGAAAATATTCTCTTCGTTGTATGGTACGTTTTCGAAGCATTCACCATGAAAGGATTTTGTCAAACATACACAAGGTGAACACACGGTAAACACCAAGTACATGTCAGTTTATTGTGGGTGCAGAAAAAACAGAGAAACGCACTACCCATATCCGATCACCTAAGTTACAGAAGCGTGCACAGGGGTCTTACTGTCCCACCGCAGGCTAAGTGAGTTTTTTGCAACGGCTAAAAGGGTGTTAAGCTACCAAAACGCATTTTCCTGATATTTTTTCCTTCGAATACTTTTGCTGTATACCTCATTTCATCAAGTCATCACTGAAGTGTCCCTACACTTTTTCGGATTGTTTTGAAGTTTGCTGGTAGTGTGAATTCTTTTAAGATGGTAAATCAAGACTGTATCTACTTGATAACGTGGATTTGGGAGTTCAGTGGGGTTTCTATTGAGACTCTGCTACATCTACAGACACTATTTTATGCCAACAAGAGTGTGTTCCCTCTTGATCCACTGGCTGCAGCTGGTCCCGTTGATGTTCGTTGCAGAGGCTTTTTACCGCTTTACATGCTTTCCCGACGTTAGTGCAAAAATGAATCCTGAGATAAAACAACCAGATTCCACATACGAAGTGCAGTATGTAGTAATCGAGGTTTTCGGCATGGATAAACTTCAATATTTCTTCCGGAACCCCGTTGAACGGAACTCATTTCTGTTGAACTAAATGTGTAGTGCAAGGGTTACTTTGTTAGAACGCTATTAGTTAGGATAAAATTAAAATCATAGTCAAGTGGGATTTCGGATGTTCACCACTTCAATATCAGCTTTGAATGAACTTGGTTTCAGTGATATTTGCTCAGCTGTCTTCAAGTGGTCCATCCGTCAGTCATGATGTACAGATGTGAACATTGAAAAGTCGCTCTATCCACATTATGTTTTCGAGCGCCTGACACTCAACAACCGCCTCATAAAATTAGGTGTTATCGAATATGCTGAGCGCCATGTGGGTTGCCATACGAGTTTTGTACAAATGAAGTTCTTTCCGTATCTCATAAAATATTGGTGAATCCTTGTTAACTTGTAGTGATGACCTGAACGACCAAATGGTCGTAAAACCCGATAGGTTAGCGTTTCGCTCGCTGTGAAGTAAACTTGCAAAATTAATTCTAATGGGGATGAAAAACCTTTCAGATCAATGGATGGTTCGTACAAACGATCCGATTGATCGCATGTAGCCAAGGCTTTGTGTCACACAGACCCACTTAACAAAAATATTACTAAATAGATGTCAACATTTTGAACTTTTTCATTCACAAACATTAAAAAAAGTACTTTTGAAGAGCTAAGGCACACGGTTACCGAAAAATATACACATGTCTCTGAAATGCGGTGCATATATAAGCAGGTAGCCCGTTTGTCAAACTTATCAAAATGAAATCGGGTCGGACGCTTTATTAAGCCTCTTCACCGATACGCCGCGGAAAGGCAGACACCACTGACACCACTGTTTCAATAGATCACTTCAACCCAGGTTGCATTTGCCCCTTCCCTCGTTCCCTCTAACTCCACTTTTCTTCATCTTGAGAATGGAATAAGCCGAGCATCTTCAACGATTCAGACAATCTTATTCAGCAGACGTGGTAACTGCACGTTATGGCCTGAGGGCATTTTAACAAAAAAATACCTGGTATTGCTAAACAGCAGACGAAACTGAAGAGCCATTTACCATAGATTGGCAGAGGAAGTATTTGCACGATGTACGGATGTTCAATTACAGTTTATGCTCTTGGGGATGCAACAGAAATAAGTCACACGTCCATTATTTAAAAAATGCGCATCATAAGCACAGAGCAAACTGAACTGCAGGTATGGGTTCGCGCACAGAATTAGTTGAAATTTGCGTGATTTGAAGATTGCAGTTGAAAAAATACACAGCGATTGGTGTGACCAGGAAGAAACAGATTCTTAGCGAAGAGGCTATGCAACACAAAGGCGTGAATTGGTTCCAATCTGTTTTTTTTTTACGTGCGTACCTTGTGTTTGAGCAGGTTATGTGCAATTCGCCGGATACTTCTTGCACGAGAGCTTAACTAGAGAAAGTTGTTGGACATACAAAGACAGAGGCTGTTCGGTTTCATTACCAACGTAACTGAGGTTTGAGTGCCGGGTACCTCCGTGAAGAAAATCAGACAGCTTTTAGGATGTTTCATATGTGCAAGCGGGCAACGGTCAGTCAGCTTCGTTGAGTACGAAGTACCTCACCACACGCCATTAGTTTGACCCCAGTTTGCCGGATGCAGTCCGGATAACTAGCCGAACACAATGAGCGCATCTAGTGAAGGATTGCCAAATCATTTCTCCCCAACAACCAACCCATCGCTACGCACCACTACGCTCCCTAACGACGCACCAATGATGTCACCTCGATTGGTGATAAAACGCTTGCAATCAAATTGTTTAACTCAGCGAACAAGCTAACGACCTTACCCCCAACTTGACACTGACGAAGAACGGTCCACTTTCGATTATTCCTGCTTGAGTAAGTTACTATTCTTCCGAACCGCGTGCGTTACGTGCTTTGCCATGGATACATCTCACACGGGTTGAATCAGTCAGTCGTAGTTATGTATTTTACTAAAGTGAATTAATAAGGGGGTCGATTGGATTCAAAAGAAATACTTATACCTTTCAGTGAGTGAAAATCTGGAATTGACAGTCGTGCACCGAGGGTTGCCCAATCTTGCCGACACGCATACTAAACAGCTCACTATAGAGAAATACAGCGGCTTACTGGTGCACATGTCTGAGTTGGACGTCATGGACGCACTGTGCGTTGAACAATGGACAATTTTTCTCCCGCGTCGATATCGCCGAATGCCTAATGATGCGTTTTCCGAACCAAAATGTGACTGGAGTAGGTTTCGTGAACTATTGTGATGGCTGCTACGTGATTTTCTGTGAATAAGGATTCGTTTATAAACCAAAAATCGAATTCATTTCTGTTAGCTTTTGATGGGGGTCTCCACAGAAAATTTTACTGCATCCTACTTGTAATGATTGATGGTCTGTCGGCCCGAGGTTATTTTTGGGATAATGCTCCAGCTGGCGTATTGGTAAGTGAGGTGGAAAGATTCATCACTTAAGAGAATCGCTTTGGAGATTTTCACCGACGAATGAAATGATTTTTCGGTGTCCCCCCGAAAATGATTCCAAACGCGCCGTCATGTATAGGCGCGGTATCCATCAATAAACTGATAATGTTGAAAAGTTTAATAAATGGTCAGGTTTTACGAGTTTGTTCAGGTTTATCTTCTGATAAAAACTGAATATGAACGGGCACCAAAAAGGCGATGACTCAGTTAGCAGAAGCATGTTTGGAACCAGCCTCGTGCTTATGATTTTTCCCCACATTATGTATATTGTTGGTCCCA